ACAGCGGGTAGGCTGCCGATGTCAGCGCAAGGTGTACCCTTTCTTGGAGTTTGGCGCGCCATGCACAAGTCGGGTAATAAGGGGGAGGTTGCCTATGGTATGACAGGGTTTACCTTTTTTCGAGGTTGGCGTGCTTCGCACAAGCCGGTTGGGGGGCAGGTTGCCGGCAACAGTAGTGCAAGGTGAACCCCNTTATTATAGTGGGTATCCTCGTAATCCGCTAATAATACTCGCAGAGGTCATGGGTTCGAATCCCCATGGGGTGAAAATTTTACGAAATTTGCGGGTGAAAGCGAAATATAGACTATTACATGTATAGCTGAAAAGCTCTCGTGAGTACCAAATTTCGACGTTAGCACCGCCGTTGACGAGGGAAAGGGACGGCTGAACCTTTCTCGCGATGAAAATATTATTCAGTACGCACCGCAGGAGGAAGGTGGGGCATGAAAAGAAATAAACATAAAATAGTCTTGGTGTTTACCCCCTCCTGTGTGACCCTGGATGGTTATGCCTGTACGAAAAAATACACTGAAAAGTGTAGCCCACGTCTCACCACGAAAAATGGGGGGACTGTCGCCATAATAAATAGGACGAAAACACACACAACACACACAACACAAACTGCAGTGCTCAACACTGTAAGTGGCGGGTTCAATTCTTCTGCTGCAGCACTACGTTTTTTTTGGTTCATGTTTCATTTGTTTTGTTCGTCCCTGTATTCGAATCACTACAAATTTACCGTCGGCACATTCCCGAGCAAACCTCTGAAACAACGACATCCCGTGCCCATGCATCATACACACACATTACCAGCAGCTCTAGCTTAAACCCATCTCCGCCCGCGGCTTATCATCTCTACCCAGGGTCAACATCCCAAGTTGCACGATCATTACTACATACATGTAAGCGAGAACCATAAAAGGTACTTCAAATTGAAACAATACATACATACCCTTCCTAACGTCGTTCTGTATATATAGACTATTCATTGTCCCCCCACAACAACAGCATGCCCTCGCCCATGACCTTCAGCGACGTCGATCATGGAGACGACACACAACCCCCGCAACAAACTACCTTTGTCGTGAGGGAACACCGCTCAGCCGGAGTCAACAGCTACACGTAGCGGCAGCAGTGTTGTCCAAACGCAGAGGTAGAAACGACCGTCTCTCCCGACACGAAACACAGAACCCCCCCCCGCCCCGGCCGTCCCAAATTCTACAACTAACTCTAGTCAAGAAAAACGTCACTGCCTGAGACGGAGCCAGCTGCGACAGCGGTGTCCTCCAAAAACAATGCAGAGACTGCAGAAATAGACCGCTTTACGTTCCCAACACCATCGAAACAACTCCCCCCTCCCCTCCCCCACAAACCACAATTCGCACGGACAACAAACGGCGCGGACGAAGCCAAGAGGTAGCAGCGACAGATTCTAGACGCCCTTCCTTGCAGACACAGAAAACACCTGGCTCTCATCCCGCGCCAGGCGCCCTCATGCACCACCAGCAAGAGCAACAACCATATCATAGCACCATATATATGAAAAAATAAAATACTGTGAGACATGGCTAGCGGGATATTCTCCGCCTTCTCCGTGAAAGCTTCGACCCGTTGTGAACGCCATGAGGGCCCGACAAAATGCTTTGAACGATGTACTTCACCTTGCTCGTGGGAGACCGCGCCTCAAAGTTCTCCTTCGGGTTCCCGCTAGAAACCAGACAAGCTGTAGGCGTAGCCCGAGTGGTGGTAGAGCTGTGTCTTACTTTCGGAGTTCCAAAGACGGTGCGCTGCGACGGAGGCCCAGAGTTTGGCGCAGAGGTGGTGAAGCACTTGTTGTGCAGATGGTTGCGGGCAAACATCGTCGAATTCGTGTTTGGTGCTGCTGATCACCCTCGGGACCAAGGGTCGGTAGATAGACTGGGGGGATGGCTACAGGAGTTGTTGGCTGAGCTGTGTAGTTCCTGGCCTGACCGATGGGATGAGTATGTTTCGCCTGCGATGTGGATCAAACGCACCTTGCCAGACACCTCGCTCCCATCTAATATGACCCCCTTCGAGCTCCTGTTCGGCTGCAAGCCTCACACGTCGCTGGATTCGTTAGTTCCTCTTGCGGACGAGATGGATCAGGAACGGGGACTCGACAACTTCTTCGTGGAGAGGCTCAAGAAAAATCTCCGTGAAGTACGACTCGCCCTCGAGAAACGGCATGAGCTTCGAGGGGCTGCACGCGCGAAAGCCAACGCCTCCATCGGGAGGTCGTCAGCTGGAGTGGGCGTCGTGAAGGACAGCCTCGTGCTCGTGCGCGAGTCCGAGAGTAGTCGACATCGTGACCACAGGGGAAGAAAGCTGCAACACGATCTCTACCCAGGACCGTGGAAAGTGATGGGTGTGATCCAGCCTGGTCTCAGTGTTGAAGTCATGATGCATGCATGGTAGAAAGAAGAGCAGCTGTAGGGTATCTACGGCCGATGTGAAACCTTTCCACCTCCGAGAACTTCCTTTCCGACACTCGCTAGCCGAAGAGTTCGCCCAGTATGCGTGGGGGCCCGACTTCAAATTGCCTTCAGGAGCTGTAGAGAGTTTGGGTCTAGTCACCATCGCCGACTGTCGCTATTTCAACCAGCTTCCGGCATGCGATTTGTTTGGGAGTACAAGGGGAAGTCAGGGAACGGTGTAGTTGGTGTCGGACTGGCTGTCGGAAGAGACCATGCGACGCAGCTTCACACCCCTTCAGTTGGATTGCTTCGTTGCTCTCTGTCTGGCTCTTGTTGGCAAACGCTTCTTCTGCACCCGACTCGGTCAAGCTCCGTACCCCGTTGTCCCGCGCCCAAGCCTTGCACGTTTTCCCGATAGGTTTTACCTTCCAGAAGGAGCTAGCCGGAGGAATCCAACTTCAGGGTCCGTTGCTACCTATCCCCCTACTAGTGCGTGCGCTACACTGACGGGAACTGGGAGGAGGTGTCCAGACGCGATTTGCAAAGACTTTCGAGATAGCCTTGGGGGGAAGGATTTCGAGCTAGTGTGATTGCTGGACGATGGGGATGCGTTGGGTTAGTGCGACCGTCTGCGGGTGATCATGGATGTCCGTCCAAGATTCGGTGGTATGTATGAGTTAGGATAGTTTTTGACTATTATCTAGTGGGGTTCCCGTAAAGGGTGAAAATTTCCGGTAAGCGGCTTTTTTCCCGGTAGCGGTGTGTTTTTCCGGTTAAGGTGATTACGCCGCATTCTAACCGGAAAAAGTGGACCGGAAGTTTTTCGTTGACGGATATTTTTTTTGACCAAGGAGATTTAAAACGGATGGGAAATCGTAGACACACAGGTAGTTTTCTCTGACGCTATGATTCCATTGT